AGTAACTAAATAAACAAACAATCCCTTTCTCCTTTTTATTTTTGAAATTCTTGTTTTATCACTGTATGAAGGTTTCTAGATTTGAGGCAGCTGAAAATATATAATTTTGGATTGGCGACTCTTGCTTTTATCATTTGGTGTTTTTTTAAGTGTAAGTAGAGTTCTAAGTGTTATTATGCTTGGCTGCCAAATAAAAAGCTTTACCTGTGACACCACTGTCAGAGGAATACACTTGCCCACCCCACGGGGACCACATGCTCGTGACTATATGTGCTTCTGACAAAAAACTCAACTTCCAAGTTATCATTTGTTCTACTATTAAAATCAGGTAATGTGTTTCTTTCAACATCATGAATGTTCTTTGGATTTGGAACATGACATCTCTGATCTACTTTCATGTATTATGATTACGAGAATAAGTTTCTAGGTATGGCCAGCTCAATACAATATGACTAACCCTCTGGAATCAACTAAAGCCTTCACAAGAAGAAAGTCATGCTATGCACTGGAGACAGTCTATGACATTTTAATTATTAAAAATTTTAAAACACAATCGACCTGATTCATTTTTTTAAAGATTGTAAGATAGATTTTGTTTTTACTTTTCTTCCTCTAACTTGCACTTTCCTTTTAAAACATGCTTTTAAAATGACCAATCCATTATTTTTAAAGTCATTTCATGATATATTTATAAAATCACAGCTCCCTTAATTTACCTAGGTCACCTTTTGCCTCACCTCTGAGCACTGAAGCGAGTTTTACATAGAGAATTCCTGACACACTGGAGATTTCTCTTAAAGCTCTTCAGAGGAGATTGAGTAGACTTACTTTTCCTACACACTTTATTTACATTTGGCTTAAATCTCCACTGCAGTAATTTGAGAGTACATCTTGGCTTGCAGCCCACAAAAAGAGAAATGACTATTATGGACCATCATATCTAATATATAAAAGCTATATGCTGAGAAAGAGTGAAAACAATCTCTCAGTTTTTATATAAATAAATCATAAAACTAATCTAACGTATAAAAGTCTCCAGGAATAGAACTCAAGAGCTTAATTTTACAGCAAAATTTAATATAAAAAACAAATGCAATATAGTCTGTTGATTATGGGAGGATCTGAACTGAGCGGTTTAACTAAAACCTTGATCTCCCCACCGTAGCTCTAAACCATCAATATATTATTATTTCCAAAGTTACTAAGTACTTCTATATTTTAATTGTAACAAGCAGTTAGAAATGGTTACCATGTCATCATAGTAGTTTGATATTGTTCTTAAAATTCACCCACCTTTCTCAATATCTGCTAGTAAAGTTTTTTAACAGTGTCAGCAATTCAAAATCACCCTTAGAATCCTTTCTACATTTAAGAAATGAGTACTAGAAAAAGTCAAGAGAGGGAAAGTATTTCCTTTATAACTCTTTTTCCATTTGAGAAAGCATGCGATAGTTATATACTTAAGTCTTTTGTTGTAATTGTAGGCAAATTACAACTCCAAAAAAATTTGGCAATGTTTATGTGCTACTCCCTTAGAAGAAATATGCAGAAAGTATAAAAATAGAAGAATTTTAATACATTTTAATTTGGAGGGTAACTTGGGACTACTTTATCTAAAGCAATATTGGGGCACATTATACTCATGTCAATACAAAGGCACCTTTTGCGTCCATGATTATCGAAATCCCCACTGCCATAAGCTCTGTAAGGGCAGATGTAATGTCCGCCTTGTTGAGTGAGATTCTCCATTTACATGGTAGGTGACCACAAGGTATGTATTTAATATGTGAATCAAGGAGTCACCTGGGTTTACAAAAATGCAAAACATATTTGATAAGTGCGGAAACATGAGAATGCGCCTCAAAGACCACCGACTACAGGGAGATTGATTGACTAAGGGTCCCAACTGCTGGGCTCTGAAATCCATCCTCATGCTTGTACCAAGGCCATGTTTCCTATGGACTGCCCCCAACCAATGGCGGGTCACAGCAGGCATTCCAAGGTAGGCTCATCCCTGGCAAACGAGGGACTCCTCTGGCGGAGGACTTTAACTCAATGGCTCCCTAAACATTTTGCTAAATCTTTCTTAGACTGCACATTGGTCTAAGACACTTCTGTGCTTCTGTCTAATTTTCCCTCTCTCTCTCCATCCCTGTAGACACAGTGTCATGGACATCTAACGGTCCTGTCTGCCTTAGCCAGCTCCCCCCCATTTTCTCTTACATGATTGTTCCCTTAATAAAGTCCTCACATGCTTAATCCTGTCTTCACAGCTGTTGTATGGAGGACCTGGACTAACACAATAAGTGACTTCAAGACATAACAATTCTCTTTGAAATATTAATAACTCTTGATCTATTTCACTACAAATACACTGCATTAAAATACAAGGATGTACTATGTAACATTTTGCCATAAATTCATATACCACACAAAATTTGACCATAAGTTACCAGTTGAATTACCTTTGAATTACAAATGATTAGTCCCTAAAATTACCTTTGAATTACAAATGATTAGTCCCTAATCAAGATCCATACCTTAGGCATATGCCAAATCAATTGTCACTTACACTTTTAGGACAGTGAGTTGACTGAGCCCATAAAGCTCATTGCTCAATCTGGACTTTTACTTTTCAGCATATATGATACGCATATTTGAATAATATGCAACTTGTGAGTAAAAACCTTAACATCTTTAATTCTATAGGAATCTCCCTTATTCAATTAGAAAAAGGGAAATGACTATATATATACTGAATGCTATTCTACTGATTGGTTAATACAATCCTCCTTATAGGATGAAAATCAGCTTCCCAATTGTTCTATAATATATTGAATATATTTCTACTCACAGTGGTATAATATCTTACATAGAAAACCTACTTAGTATTTCTTCTTCACATCTGTGAATGGAGTATCAGCTTATGATTCCACTCATTAATGGCATCTACTGTACTAATGTAGAGTTAGGGGGATGAGGACTCTTCCAAATCACAGTTGCACGTATTTTTAATTCTGTGAATAATAATAGTTACGCGCAAAGGTAGGCGTAAGTGAGGACAGAACAAGGAACAGAGTCTTCTGTGAGCGTGATGTTCAGCAAAGAGGTTTTCAGACAGACTGCCTCATTGCAGAGGTTGGGGCTCCACCCTATGATCCCTACATCTTTGCCTCATCCTAGGTCTATCTGGGGCCCTCATCCCTTCCCCAGCCACCTGCATGCTTACCTCCCCCAAAGCTGACAGCCATCTGTAGGGAAGTAGATTGATCCCACAGTTAAAACAGTTGAGGCTTTGTTTTTGTTGCTGCTTGTTTGTTTAGATTTTTACAATTCTCTTTGGCTTCCTATGCTATGCCATAGCTATAAATGGAATAAGACCCTCAAACATTGTTAAAAAAATAATGTTCAGAAATACCTTAGTTACATATCCAAAGCTAAATAGGCAGAGCTAAAGAGTTACATACCCAGAGCTGAACAGTCTCCTAGACACTAACGTTCTTGCCTCCACAGTGGCCTGAAATAGCTATAAATATTTCCCAATACTAAACACGAAATAACTAAGTATATTCTCTTTTAACAAAGGGAGAGCCTAGCCATGTTTTTCTATGTATCTGAAGTTTAGTTTAAAGCTAAACCTCATGTGCACAGACTTAAGAGTGCACGTTGTCTTATCTGTTAATTATACATCAGGGGACAAGACTTGAATCAATTTTAAAGCTACAGAATAAAGTGGAATCATCATTTCATGCTAAATATATTATTGGCTATACACATAGTCTTAGAGTAAATGATACGCATGTCAGTCTTAAATAGTTGGATTTATATAATAACACTGTGGGCCTCCCATGGAATTTTTCAGTCAAGCTTCCAAACATCTAAGAAGTACTTTGCACATATTTTTTGTGTCCACTATAGACAGTGGAAGAACATTGCAATTCATGGTATTTCCCCTGTTTGTTTAGAGAATAAGAACACATAATCTTGGTGCTCATCATAGTACTTGAAAGCCTATAAATATTTATTCACTGAACTATTAACCTTCTGAAGGGCCAATATTTTGATCATTCACCTACGGGTTTAATCAAACATTCTCAAGATTCTGAGATTAGGTACAGGCAACATAAGGAATGATTAATTGAGGTACAAATAACTGCAAAGGTCAAAAACTAAAATTCCATTTACTATCGTGGACAAAATATTTCAGATTAGTGTCAAATACCAGACTAGTAATAAAAATTAGGCTACAAGAACTCCCCTCCCCCCAATAAGGTGAAATTCCAATACTCTTAATGATTTATGTATAACCAAAAATGAAATATCTATTAAAATGTACTTTTCAATTTAATCCTTGTTGGCAAGTGTAAAATAATGCAAACATATTCTGATGTTAAAATGGCAACAGTGCATTTCTACTCCAGTGCTGTAATTAAAGGTAATTGATGGAAATAAATAAGAATTATAAGGCATTTATATTGCATCTGAGCAAGCGTGGCTGCCAAGGGCAACATTGCAACAAGGCAAATAGAATCCAAATCATAACCTGAAGCATACTAACTAACTAGAAGAAAAGTAATTGCATTCTTCTTCCATTTTTAAATCTAATCTTAGTTTTATCATTAGAGGAAAGTTTGCATATTTGGCACCTAATTAATACAACTTTGCTATTTTTATTTTTAATCATTTAATATTTTTGAAATGTGAGAATACCGTTATTTCATTATGCTTTATTGAGACAGGACTGAGACCAGGGTGACCTTAACATCAAAGGAAGATGCTTGCTCATCACGCAGGATGCCCCTACTCATGCCTGCATAAGCCTCTACCTTGATTATCACTCACTGCATAATCAAAATAGGCAAGGGATTTCCTTTGCCGTGATGAAGTGTGTGTGTGTGTGTGTGTGTGTGTGTGTGTGTGTGTGTGTGTGTGTGAGATATGACTTTTCTGATCCATGTTTATGTATCATGGTTAGGGGAAAGGTTGTTTCTTTCACTTACCTAAAATCCTGCCCAATACCAGAGATTTGACTGCACTGAATTCTGTGCCTGATGACAGGTGAACTTGTCTCCTTGTATTATTGTCAATCTACAAAATTATTACACAAGATAAAAACATCCAAATGGATGACGTTTAGTTGAGAAGACAGGAAGCAAAGGAGGACAAGAGAAAAAGATAAATTAAGCAGTTGTTAGCATGGCCCCAAACATTTAGAAAAAAACAAAATTTAAAAACTTAGCCACTTAGAAAGGATTTTCTACATTATTTCTATACTACCTTCAGATGCCAGAGCATCTACCCTACCTCCTAGCCCCTTGCATCATTTTATTTTTCTCCACGGGATAAGGAATTCAAAATAGATGAAGCCAACAAAAAGATACAAAAGGTTACTTTTCCCCTTATCACTTTTACTTGGTGTTTTTATTTGAGGTAGGCAGCTAAGAAATTTTCTTCTAGGTAGGGTACCAAAAAATTATTAGTGCTTTTCTTCAAAAAATGGCTCCATGAATAATTCCACCTTCTTTGCTGTGACTCATATCATTAACAAAAATTCTGACATCACAATCATTATTTTCAGATAGATTTCTTACTGCATTTATCTAAAGTAAACCGGTTTCATTAGCGTAACAATGGTCCTACCAGTAGCACACTATGACATCACTGTCCTTCTGAGCAGAAACAAGTTGGAAAAGATCGGCATTTTAAACATCTGACATTAATAATATAATGAACAACATCTTATTGCTTAAGAAAACCCTGACTACATTTGAGGTCTATTATCTACAGAAGAAGACCACTGAAAGTGTCTCTGCTTATTGTGTTCATTATCAAATTTCTGCTTGAGATCCTTCATGCTGGAGAGCCATTAAAATGATTGCTTCTGCTGAATTTACTACATTACCTCTATAAAGACCACTCCTTCTTCTCTGTTAATCACTATGTGGTGAAGTTGTCCGTCAGCCATGTTTTTAAAATCAAAGTTAACAACATCAGGCTCTTGATATCTATTTAGCTTGTACCTGATCTGCAAACTTCCTAGAGTGGGGAAAAATGGTGACTCTTTTAGTAAAAATCATACTTTGAGAATGGCTTACTTAAAAATCAGAGTCATGTTTTGTTGCTATGTATTCATTTCGAGGGAAAAATAGGAAGATAGCCTCTTATAATCCCCAAGAGTCAGTTTCCAAGTGAAATTGCAATACTGTATTTTCAAAATCAAGACCAAGTATGTTGCACATAAGCACTCTCTTTCCTGCAAGTCTTTAATTTAACATCAAGATCTCAGATTAAGCATATGCAAATCTATGCACTAGCTTCTCACTTAAAAAATAATATTAAATATTTCTGAAATGCCAAGCTATTGTTTAATATTGCAATAATATTGTTTCTACAATATTTTAAAAATATAACTCACACTCTGGAAATACAACAATTAATGAAATTATGAAAGGCAAATGTAGTTTTACTAAAGATAAGAAATATGTCCAGTGGTCATGGTCATAGACTTTGAAATGAAATAATGGTAAGATTAATGATTTTAAGCCAAATTTACCATCAGAATTAGTACTACTCATTTAATTGCCTGCAGAGATGTCAATTAATTTATTTCACAGGATATCTTTCAATTTGATGAAGAAAATGCCATAATATACAAATCAGCTTCAAGCTCAAAAGGCACAGTATGAATAAATACACTTATCGAACAATCTTATTTTTTATTTTGGTGTTCAATACCCTTGGGAAATATTTGAATTAGTCGAAATGATATAGTCGCATGTTTGTATGTTTGCTTTTCTTATCCAGAGAAGTTATTTCCAAACTTTTTACCTTTAATCCAGATACGGGAAAGAGAAAAATAGCAGTAAATGGTTTTCTGTAGGAAACACATTTCCTAATCTACATGCCCTTAACACTGCATGGATACACCATTTTTTTCCCATGATGATTTTTTTAACTAAAAGTACAACTGAAAGGTCATCTTGTGAACATATTCTTATCCATAATGCTGGTTTATTAACACTCCCTTAATGTTTCCTTGCTTTGATTTGCAGGAAATACTTATGTACAACAGGATACCTTATTTCAAAATGAACTACAAAACAAATATAGATATTCATATGGAATAGTCAAGGAGCTTCTAATAATAATACAGTAAGTGTTATATATAAATAAAATCATACATTGAATATGTAAAATTATCAAAATTATAAATAGATAAAGGCATCTTAATCATTTTAAATAATCCTTTTAGATTATACTTACAGGATAGTACTAAAACTGTGAATACAAAAAACCAGTCACACTCCATTTTTCTGTTTGTAGTTTGAGAAACCAGAACACAAGAATGATCCATATTATTACAGAGCTGGTGTTCTAATTTAATTTTCTCTCTCTCATCTAAAAAGAACTCACCATTTTTGGCAATGATAACAGAAAGGTATTCTTTGTAAAAGGAGCTCACAAAAAGCAGCAAGCTTGGTGTTCGTGTTGTTCGGAAACTAAATTTGATCATTTCTCTGCTCAGCTTCATATCACCATGAAATGAAGCAGCATGGGAGCTGGAGTTTTTACTTAAAAGATAATTTTCTTGAAAATTGTATATCACGGATGAGCCAGATCCAAAATATGCAGAAATCTCTGAAACAACATATATATTTTTTCTTAAAAATTTTAAGTACAAGAATCTTGCTTTAGTTGCAATAATTAATGTTTTAGTTTCTTTAAATAATGAGTTGCATAGGTAGAAGAACCAACCCCAAACTAGAATCAAATAATAAAGTAAATTAATAGAGCTTTCATAATGATCTTTGAAATGGCTTTCTGTTAAAATGACATATAATTAATGCACTATTATAATTTTACACTTGAAAGTTAAACGCTTTCTTATCTGAGTTCAAACACAAACTAGGCTTGTCTTCTATCTCCTTGATCATCTACTTGTTTATTTACATTTTAACTCCCATCTATTACGTGCAGATAGTACACACTAATCTTAAATGAAGCGTATCTTAAAGGAAGTCTAGGGCATCCTATCTACAAAATAGGAAGGAAGGATGTTTGACTCTCTTCTTTCCCAGGATCGAGAGGCAGAAATTTTCCTTTAGGTCTAAACATTTTCTCATAGTTGTTGTGTACTATAAACAGAAAGCCAAGTCTAGTATTAACATGAGAGAGGGAAATAGCATCAACAAATGGAACTAACCAACCTCTTTTAAATCATTTTACACAAGTGTAATATTTTTCCTGTATGAGATTAATATCCCAAATTCTCTCTCTTCTTTCTTCCCCTCTCTCTCTCACACACACACCAAATACATATGTATGAAAATGAAGAGGATGGCAGAAGAAATAACTCGTTTTAAATCCCCGAATCTGCTTCTCTTCATTACTAAAAAAGGACTGGTTATTGAATACAAGTTGTAGATGATACTTACTGGATCACACAGTAATGTTTAGACTCCCTTGACATTTTAGGGTTTTTTATTGTTTCATTATTTTATTATCTATAACATACATTTTATATTCAATATAATATGTGCATACAGAGTAACATTTATGGTTGCACTTAGCAAGATGAACTGGAAATTATTTATATCCAGAAAACGAAGACATGTTATTTTAAACAAATGTTCTTAATTATCACTTTAAACATGAAAAGTGTCCTAGAATGGTACCAACAGTATATGATTATGATCACAAGTTGATTTGTAAATTATAGATTATTCCTGAGAAAAGCAGATGACTTGAAAAGTACATTTGGCAAACTTTTTATTAGCTCATCCTCATGCTTTCTTTGTAAGTCAGGAGTTGTTCTAATTTGGAGCCAAGTTTTGTTAGCCTACTTCAGGAAAAGGTTCAATAGCCAAGACACACTTTAAAGTAATTGAATTTAAATTGGATGTCAGTCTTCTATGAGGAACTATGAAAGAATAAATGTTTGTATATTCATAGAGGTCTGTCCAGAACACTTAATCCTACGTCTTTCCTTCTTCCACAATGTATATCAGAGAATGAGAGAAGCTGAAAACTATCCTGCTATTTTATTTCACCAGCAGATATTCAACATATCATACAATAAAATGTATGATTAATGCATAAGTGTGTCTATTTTTATAATGCATCAATATTTAATGGTATACTGTTTATATTTCTGGAAAAAATATGCCTTAAAAACTCAAACAAATAAAAACAAAAATAAATGCATCTGAAATATCCTTGCATTGTTGAGTATCTTCAACAAATATAATAGCAACAGTGCCAGGCATGGGGGCTCATGTCTGTAATCCCAGCACTTTGGGAGGCTCAGGCAGGCGGATCACTTGAGGTCAGGAATTTGAAACCAGCCTGGGCCTCATGGTGAAACCCTATTTCTACTAAAAATACAAAACTTAGCCAGGCATAGTGATGGGCTCCTGTAATCCCAGCTACTCGGGAGGCTGAGGCAGAAGAATCGCTGGAACCTGGGAGGTGGAGGTTGCGGTGAGCTGAGCTGGTGCCATTGCACTCCAGGCTGGGTGACAGAGTGACAGAGTGAGACTCTGTCTCAAAAAAAAAAAAAAAAAAAACAAACAAAAAACAAACAAACAAACAAAAAAAAAAAACCAAAAGTAATGCTTTAAATGATTTTAAAATAAAGAACGGCACCATGGGGCAGGTTGTTGAAAACCATATTATTTAAGAGAATCAATGTTAGGTATAAAAAAGCAGACTGAGCAACTAACACTTTAAAATACATAGAAGTGACTATCAATGGATTTATCATCAACAAAGACTAGTTTGAGTCAAACATTTAAGTAATGAAATATGATGCGCTCCAACTTTGAATATATGATGCTGTCTTATCACCAGGATCGTGTATCTATTCTTTACATTCAATAGATTCTTTGCCGAAGAAACTCAGAAATTGATTTTTTGTGTGTTTCAAATAGCTGGAAAGAAAAGAACTGGCAGACATTTAATTCACATTGAATAATTTTTCCTCTTACAGTCTTCCGTGCCACACTTACCATTTGAGCAGAATGGCCCTGTGTATGCAGAGAAAGTGCAGTCACAAAAGAACCCAATGGGTCTTTCTCTGCACTTCCCTCCATTGCGGCATAACTTCCCATAGCTGCTGCAGTGTCCTCTACAACCTGGCTGCACTTCCGGAGTCACCTGGGCTCTTTCTTCCAAATCCAGGGTCATCCCATTCAACTGCAGAGACCGAATGCAGCCCAGAAAGCCTCTTTGTCTGGTGGCCGTTCCACCTAAAAGGGAAATACTGCAAATGGAAACATGTTCCTAGGTGTTTTATTCAGGATTTAAAGACCAAACAAAACTGAGGCCTTACAGAGAACAGCAAAAAAATGGATAAGCAAATATAATTTTGGAAACACAATTCATGGCCAAATATAGACTCCAAGAAAGATACAACTTTAATTCAATTTATTTTAAAGTTGACTATGTTATATTTTTTTTTCTAAAATATATTTATTGATCTTTAAATTGAGGAATAAAATAAAGGTCATACACTACTCTCATTCAAAATAACAGTGACATGTATCGCTATTTTAATGTAGAAACTACTTTCTGGGAATTTTAATAAGTATATATTGCTGGGTAAGTGTGGTTTATCCTTCATATTGAAACCTGATCTTGATTCTGGTACAGTTTTAACTTTGTGAGAATTATTAAGGAATCTTTGAGATCTTCTGATGGTACACTGATATGGTCCTTTGGTTGTTATCCATTCATTGAAAAGATGGTAACTGAATGTCAGATTATTTGTTTTTGTCTGACATATTTCCAAGTGATTGTTTTTCTAAAGGTTAGTCTAGTGTTCAGTGTTTTATGCTTGGAAAGATTCTTAACAAAATTGCAAAAGGGGATCCATACAGAAATAAGTTATATAACACTTATTGAATATATAACCATATGTACTTATCAACTCACCCTTGAAGAGGTCTACAATGTTTGGTTGGAATCAGACCCTATTATTCTAAGGTAGAGGTTCTCAAACTTTAAGAAATATGAGTAACACATAATCACATGGAGAGCTTCTAATAAATTGACTCAGTAGCTTGCTCCAAGAAATACTGGTTCTGTGGTCCAAAAGTAGGGTTGTGAATCTCAAGAGTTAACAAGGCTTGCAGGAGATTCTAATTCAGATGATCACTAGACCATCATTTTATTAGCACTGTCCTGATAGGAGTGTAAGCCCTGGTTAGACTCATACATAAATTTGTGTCCAGAAGTACTCCAAGTTAATACTCAGAACTTGAAGCGGGAAAACAGTACCCTAATCTAAATAACCTGGCAATTCTATTGAGAGGCAATTAGACGGTTGTGAAGCCTCTAAAAAGAAGCTCCATCTTTGGATAAATGATGCTAGCTCATCACCAAGACCTTGTATGTACTCTTTACATATAAATTCTCATTTCCTAAAAACATGTTCACTTCGTTTCTTCCAAATCATTTAGGTAGCTCCTTAACCTAGCCTTCATTCAACAAGGGCTACTTTGATTGCTACTGTATATCCAGCACAAAGAACAGTGGTAGATAAATAATTTGAGTTGTAACTATTAAATCCATTCCTTCATTCATTTGTTAAACCACATTATACATCGAAGTGGGAGATAGATGTGGGCATAGTGCTTCAAGGGTAAGGAGGGGGGCCCCTTTTGCCCCACAGAGATGCTTGGGTCTCTGAGACTGAGAATGAGGCCTGAATTTAGCGAACATTTCTAATAAACTAATTATATATTTGCAAATAATGAAAGACTATGGAAAGGAACCTCAAAGAATTCCTGAGAATTCTGGACTTACGGACACTAACACTATTCAGAATTCAGATTCATAGCTATAACTATATCCAAATTGCTGTATTTAAAAGTTTATTCAAAATGTTTCCATTTACATAATTTGTTTCTCCTCCATGAAGGATGCCAAGGTCTTAAGGGTGTTGGCCGTTCTATTTATAAATCTATTTATAAATCTAGAGAGTGTAAACATATTGCCATTGTCATAAGTGAGCATGATAGAGATGGTGTTAATTTCATCACAGAGTTTCAGAATGCCTGGAAATCTTCTTGTTTAATTCCTCCTACATTTACATTTACTTCTGTCATTTTTTTTAGGTTTTTAATATGGGTGCCCAATTGAGTTGTTTATTCCTTTTTGTTGTTCTGTTTTAAAAATTAATAGGCACACACTAATTGTTCATATTTATGGGGTATGTAGTGATGTTGTGATATACATAATATGTAGTGATCAGATCAGAGTAGTTAGCATCTCCATCATCTCAAATATTTATCATTTTTTAGTGTTGGGACCATTCAATACCTTCCTATTTGAAACTACATATTATTGTAAATTATAGTCATCCTACAGTGGCATACAACACTAGAACTTTCTCCTCCTATCTAGCGGTGATAGTATATCCTTTAACAAAACTCTGTGCCCCTTCCCTGTACCCTCCCCATCTTCTAGTATCCTCTGTTCTACTTTTGACTTCTATGAGATCACCTTTTCCTTAGATTCCTTATATGAGTGAGACCATGCTGTGTTTAACTTTCTGTTCCCGGTTTATTTTACTTAACGTAATGCCCTTCAGTTCCATCCATGTTGCTCTGAGTGACAGGATTTTATTCTATTTATACCTGAACTGTATTCCATTACATATATACATCACTTTTTTATCCATTCATTTGTTATTGGACACCTGGGTTGATTCCACATCTTGGCTATTGTCAATAGTGTTACAATAAACTTAGGGGTGCAGCTGTCTTTTCAATAAACTGATTTTCTTTTCTTTCAATAAATGCCTATTAGTGAGATTGCTGGATCACATGGTGGTTCTATATGCAGCTTCTTGAGGACCTCGCCATTCTTGAAGTCTCTCTTCTGCCTTATGCTCAGGATTTTTCTTTTTCTTCCATATCAGAGCTGCTACGCCTTTATCTTCACACCTCTCTATTCTTCCACTCTGTTGACTCAACTCAGTGAGCTCCTAGGGTCCAAAGTCTTTGGCCAAGATTCTTTTGGCATCCTTGTTGGATATTTCTTCCCTGGGTAAGGTCCAGCTCACATCTGGTTTTCGTATTGGCACAGGAACTTTTTGCAGGGGGCCACATTCTGTGAACTCTGAATTAAAGGTATATTCCTGGTATATTTAATTTACTTTGTATTATCCCACATTAAATCATGGTATATAGTCAATGGTATACAGTAATATTAAATCACATCGTTATACATGTGCTGCTCTGAAACACGCACAGTCTCCCTAACTCAGGGGCTTATCTTATTCTGCCAGTAACAACACAACTAAATAACTTGGGGTCCAATGACTGACTAAAGTCCATTTCCAGCTGTTCTAACTGAATTTTTCATGTTTAGTTTGTTTTGGATGATGGGAAACTAGGGGCATAGAGAATTTCAAAGATTGGTCCACAGGTCCATCTGAGGAAATATTAGAATAAACACATTTAGTTAGAGGCAGAGGTAGGATTCAGACCCACAGATAGCCTTTCATTCCAAGGAAGTTTCTTTGCACTTCATACCACTCTCTGGTAAAAGAAGTGGACTTTTCATTTTCTTGTATGCCTCAGATCATCACTGGATTGAATGGCACTTCAGCTCTCCAAGCTTTATTTAGCAGCTCTTTCTGGGCACTGAAGGTATAAAACTATATGAAATCAATCTTGCTGACAAAAAGCGCTAGTAATAAATTTAGATGGGGAAACACAAGATTACCACAACATAATAAAAATAAATACACAGTAAAGAAGAAAGTCAGAGTGTGGGGTGAGTAGCAGAAGAAGATAAATGTAAATACATGTGAAATATATGCTTAGATAATATTTGTAAGAGTGAGAAGAAAATCAGTATGCAACTTTATAAACAGGACATCTTAATTCTGTACTTTTTAAGTTATTTACCTAACCATATAGTTTTAAGCTACATTTTAAATGACCAGAAAACAACATCTAATTAGACACAAACTGTTGTGTCACACATGTATTTAGAATTTTTCCTTTACTGTTAGGTTTCAAGTTAATAACTTTGTTTTCAGATGTAACTATTCTGAAAAACCTGGCTAATGTAAATAGGATTGGGCTTGAAAGCTTAATTAAAGATTCCAGTGCCTTTTCAGGGTTAGAGTGTGTCCAATTAAAATGAGTTGCAGTTTGGTTAATTGATTCTGGATGTTTCCACTGAGCTATTACGTTTGGAACTGTCTTCCAATTAATTTTCTATCAATTTACCTGCCATGCTATATCAGATATAATGAATTTCGGGACTTCACAACACTGAGTATCTTGTGAAACAAATGCCCAACCTCTCCATGTTTATTGAGTTTAACCAAACCTGTCCACTTACGTAATGGTATTGAGGTCTTGCATCTAAATAATTTGTCTGGGTGCTGAGTAGAGACCCAGCACCAAACGCTTTCCTCTATTATTCTCAGGAAATTACTATAAGTGACAGATACTGTCATGGAGTAGAAGCTGGTTCTTTCCTAAGCCAATTTTCCACTACTTTTGGGGCAGAAAGACCTTTGAGATTACACTTCAAATTTTTAATGGCAAATTATTCATGTGCTGTGCTTGAATATTATTGAGAATTAATTGGGAACAACTGCATAACTCACGCAGGGGCCTTACAGAAATAAAGAAATCAAGATCCTCAACCTTCTCTTTAAAATTCAAAGCTATAGAAATTTGCCTGGCAGAGTACAAGGACACTCCCTGACCTTGACACTATGGCAAAGAAAAACTGGCAAAGCCCAACCACAAATTAACTTGGGGCAGAAAAGTGACAGGGCATGCAGCTTGGGCCCATGACCAAGTCAGGAGATTGAAGGGAGAAAGCTGTCTTCTATATGTCAAGCATTGGACCATGAGCCCTGTCCGCATCCTGGTGGAAAACTTTGCCTTACAGAATTAGTGGTGTTAGTTCATATAGAAGGCAGGAAATCTGGAGGCCCAGCTCTAAGTTTGTCATGCAATGTTCTTCATTAAGCAAAGTCCTGGAATGGAGGGGAGGAACAGGACTATTCTCCCTCAGGTTCAAAGAACTATCATGGTTCAAAGAGGCAGCTGTTGTTAGCAATAGTGTCATGGGCAGAAAATTCAGTCACTTTTTCCTGAGCCAAAGTCATTGGTGAAAACGTGCCCCAGTCATAGAAGGAGCAGAAAAAATGAGTCTATTTAGACTTCTCACATACTGAAGCCAGAGCAACTCTCTAGTTTGACCATGCTAAAGCCTA